GATTTGATTTCATTCATTTTAAAACGTCTAATAAAATGTTTAATTTAATAAATGTTCTATTTCTATGATTAATTTGTCATAGGTATATAATATAACATATTAGACAAGTTAAATTAATATATATTAATATAATTTTATTAACCTAATATAGGTAATATAATTACTTACAATTTAACCCAAGTCAACATGAAGTAAGTACCTGTGGATATATCAGCAACAGTTTATATAGGTAACTAAAACTCTAAAATATATATATAATATAAACTTGCTTAAAATATGATATGAAAGGGAAATGTCATAACCTTATACAATATCATATCTAAATATTAAATTGTACTTTTAATTTTAACTTTTAGTTTTAATTAAAATTATTTATTTAGCTATAAAATAATTAAAAAAATAATGATATAATGTAGTACACAATTTTTGTAATTATTTATTTAAATGAACATGAAAGAATAATAAAGAAGAAGAATAAACAAAGAGATCCGATACTTGATAGGAGTACCAAAGATAATCAACTTTGTAAAAACACAAAGAATAAAATGGTTTGGGCACGTGATGAGAAGGTTAAACTCCGATTACCTTAAAGCGGTGGCCAAATGGAAACCCACGGGGAAGAGACCAAAAGGACGGCCAAAGAAGCGATGGATAGATAGTATAAAGCAGGATTTAGAGAAACTTGGGATATCAAATTGGGAAGAAAAATTACAAAATCGGGAAGAGTGGAGGGAGTTGTCGGTGGCGGCAAAAACTCTTGAAGAGTTGTGATGCCAATGAAAAAAAAAAAAATCAACATTACAATTAAAATACACTATATTATTATAACACATATTACATAGGTATTGGAATTGGAATTAAAATTATTTTATTTATTTTTCTGAGTTTATATTAATTTTATTTATCGAAATGTTTAAATTTTTTGTTAACAAGTATATTTAAACGGCGGAAAAGTAAACAAATATTTTAACAACTTTTAGCATCACTTAAAACAAAACAATTATGTGCAGTTACTGATAGCATAACAATATATTAAGTGGTATGGCAAAATTGTGTAGGTATTTAATATTTATGAACTATCATAACTGTTATGAAACTATTCAAAGTTTTAAGAGTAGGTGAAGCGAGGCTAACGTTTCTCTTTATTCTGCTTACACAATGTTGTTATAAGTAATATTACATATTATACATGTACGTAGATACTGAAAATTTTTTGTTATTGCGATTTTCTGTTTATCATTTATACATGTAATCTAAACCACGGGGGATTCAATATAATAACGATTATACGTTTAAACGAATTATGATGAATCGAGATTAGACACGAGTCATGATAGCGTGTACGCGTGTACGCGAATAACTGTTATAACATAATAATAGAAAATGTTACAAATCGCATATGAATGATATAAGTCAGTGGCGGACTGGCCCAGATGGAGAGTGGAGAAATCCACCTGGGCCGCTGTCGTGAGAAGCCCCTTCGTTATGGTGCACTTTTAATAAAAATATACTATATTATAATTTGATATTAAATTATGCTATAGTTACTAAATTAACAATAATTGATAATAAAACACAAATACACAATCCTGGGGCACGGATTTTTTTACATAGTATTATTATTTACTTGTAATATCGTAGATATATCTACATTTTGCTAATATACCTAGTAATCTATAGCAAGTATATATCTTGATCAATTAAAACTGGAACTTCAACATTTTTCACAAGTTTGCCCAAACATATCTAATCTAGTAAAGAAAAGAAGAAAATTAATATACTCAGAGTCCGAAACTTAAGAAAAAAGTGACATAGAAAACAAAGAAGTTTATGGGATCTATAAAAATATGATTCTTTGTAAGATTGATAGTGTAAATATTCGTTTTATTTACAATGTTTATTTAATCATGATCAATAAAATTGTTGTTGATGGTTTCAGGTAATGCAGATTACAGTAACCACGACAAGAAAAATTGCTTGCATAATGCTAAGTTTGATATATAATTTAAATTTACATATGTTTGCTTATACTACACTATGCGAAGCGTATGCATTTTTTTTTAACTTTATCAGTTACAGTAGTTATCTGTAAACATACATGTAATAAGCTGAAACTCATTAAAACTAGATTAAGATCCAATTTAAATTAGGAAAATTTGGAGTTTCTATTTTTAATGTCAGTAAAAAAAGAGCTGTTGGATGAAATAGATGTGTTGGAAATCGTTGTCTATTTAAAAGAATCATCCACCGTTATGCATCAAGTGTTGAATTTATAAATTTAAATTTAAATAATAAGTAATTGATATTTCATTCACTTATTTGTTACCTATTATACTCGTATTATTTTTATAAACTATTTATGCGAAAATAAGGAATTCACTATTTTGTGGTAATAATGTATTTGATGAATTTTGGTGCTGCAATTATATTTGACGTAAAAAAAGACTAAATCTAGCCATCTAAGGTTCGTTATAAATGTACGTAGAGGCTGTTAAATTTGCCAATCACAAGCCCGGATTAAGGAGGGCAGAGGGGGCCATGGTCCCGGGCCACCAACGAATATCAAACAATAGTAGGCCCCTGGTGGATAGTAGGTTTTTTCGTTTTTTAACTATTTTTTTAGTTCGTCTAAAAAACAAGTATAAAATAGTATATAGTTTTATGGTTTTGTGTTCAGAATAATGTCTTAGAGGTAATTAATACCGATGATATAATTAAAGGGTTTGCTTCCCAAAAAGTAAGAAAAATTATTTATATAAATAACATTTTTATTTTTTGTATTAAAAAAAGCAAGAAATAAATTTATGAATTAGAATATAATTTTTTTTTTGTCTTTGAAATATATTTAAGTGAGGGTCATCATTATTTTGATTATGGCTATGGGCCTCTAAAATTGTTTGGCCCCGGGCCCTAAATTATCATAATCCGGGCTTGACCAAACATAAGCGACATAGGCGTAAATCCACTTAGTACTCTGGGGGTGCTCAAGTCCCTCCAATATTAACTTATCAGTAACCCGTGGGGGGCTTTGGCACTCGCACTCCACATAAATCTCAAATACTCTACCAAATCTTTAAAACAAATATTAAAATAAACAGAAACAAATTCATGAAAATAAAAATTTACTTATAAAATAATAATAGGTACATAATATAATCAAGAATTTTATTATATAATAGTAGGTCAAAACAGCACAAATGCACAATGATCACTAGTATATTATTAGTTATTTGAAAAATAAATACCTAATAAATTGTTGTTTCAGTAATATCTAAATTTAGACATAAAAGATTTTAAGTAAATGATATAATATAATATTATGAATGATGATAAGTATTATTTATTTCTAGAATATATTGGCGGTGCTAAACACCCTTTTAGGAGATTTTAGTCTATGATAAGCGAGCACAGCGAGCTGCAAATTTTTTGATAGTACAAAAAAAAATGTGGGCCCCTCAAATCTTCTCCACCCGGGCCGAAGTACTCTCAGTCCACTCAGATGTAAGTCGCCTTAATTCTGATGTCATAATTCACAATCATGGGTGATAGATAATGGAAGATTTTGGGCATTTCTAGAATTATGACCCGCCCACCCTCCCCCTGAAAAATATTCTAGAAAAGTAGAAAATGAATCATTTAAGTTGAACTACCTATATTTAAGAATATGTTATTGGATAAAAAACCATTTACATGAGTTATACATTATTATAATTATTTTATAGAAAAATATTTGTGGGTAACTAAAAATAAGCCTCCGTTATAATTGTAATTAATGAAGATACACAGTGACAGGGGCATATTTTAGGGGGGCGAAGGGGCGATCGCCCTCCCTGAATCCGTATTTAAGAAATTGATTATATGTGAGAAGCTCATTTCAAATTTTTTTAATGTGTATCATTTTATAACAAAATCAAATTAGTTAACAATTTTGATTTTCTACAAAAATATTTGTCATAAAATACGTCATTAAAAAGAGTGATAAGAAGAATTATCGAAAAATATATTGAAATATAATAATTAAAGGCGAATGAACGCGTATGATGATGTATGCAGTGGCGTATCCAGAATTTTTTTTTTGGGGGGGTTATAAAAAATGGAACATTAAATTTTTTTTGAATTTTGTGTGTTTTTATTATAATCAATAAACAATATACATACACTAAACATTTTCGGGGGGGGGATTATAACCCCCTAACCCCCCTGGATACGCCACTGGATGTATGTATTAAATTTTATCAGTATCAGTACCAATAATTAGTGGTAACATCACGGTCAATGTTGAATGTAATGAATTGGGCTTTTTGTCGGGTTCATTCTCAGTGAAAAATCAAATAAAACAAAAGCGTAACTTTCAAAACACAGACAGGTGTTAAAAAAAACTATAAATATTAATGATTCGCCAGATTTAAATATTATCAAAAATTTTACTTGTAAATTTTGAGCATAAAGTAAAGAAATAATTTGAGTCGCCCCCCTCCCTAGAAGTAAGTCTAAATACGCCCCTGCACAGAGAACTTAAATTACCAAAAAGCGAAAATTTGTTTGTATTATTTACGTAGAATAAAAAATAACCAAATCACAACATAATCAAAATCAACGAAAGCATAATTAAAGGATTGTCCAATTTGAACTTTGATCCCGATACCTACACGGCCATATTTCCTTTTCAAATATTGAAACTTCGCTGTTATACTGTACCAGTTGCGTATATAGAGGGGAGCAAGTGGGCTACAGCCCCCCTCCCCCCGAAATGTTTTAAAAAACTTAAAAATTATTTTAAACTTGTTATATTTTAATGGTGCTTTATGCTTATTTAGAATTTGCGTCCCATGTCAAATCGTTTTGGGACATTCTGTAAATTAAATATAGATAAGTACCTACTGTGTCCTGTTAGTAATTCTAAGATAGCAGTGGTAATTTAACTCTGTCCATAGTTGCCCCTCCGAAAATATTTTCTGTATACGCTACTGTAATGTACTAAATAATAACATTATTTAAACTTTGTCTAGCGCCACTTGTAGACGTTGGTGTCCAAACTCTCGTTCCAGAAACTCAAAACAACATAATTCACACGCGGTCAATATTTTTATTCAACATTATTAATTAATCGTAGCAATGTATTGATGTGATCGTAACCGGTACATTAATGATAATATTAATAGGTGCTTAAAACTTTATTATTATTACTGATTCACTGATAAACACCGAAGAACGCGTCGGACTTCCCCCCCGTGATAACGTATAATATTGATTAAGTGGTTGAGTTATCGTCGTTGTCGTCGTCGTTGTTGTGACGGTGGCCGACAAACAGTGAATCTGCTGGATGGGCCGTTGCATGATTTTCGTGTCACTCAGCAATATTTTCTAGTCCTAACTACGTAGCGTTCGAGCAAACTGTGTTTCGTATCGTCTGATGGTAACAGTTCGGCTACGCCGATAGTTTTGTTGTTCTCTTTTTTCCTCTTGTTTCTCTCTCTCTCTTTCTCCGTCTCGCATGCACGCAAGTGGGACAAATGATCGTGTGCGATAGCAGCTTCTGTATGAGTAGTAGGTGGTGGCACTCCGAATAATAATAATAATAATAATAAACAGTAATAATAATCGGAAGAAAACAAGAATAATAATTTATATTCTCTGGTGCGCCGTTCAAAATTCAAATCGCGTTTCTGGTACGACCGCATCGTTTTGGCGTGTTGAAAACAAATGAAGGAGAAGATTAAAAAAAAATGTGAACTTTGCACTGTCGTCTACTGCTGTTGTACACGACTAACCACGGAACGTTCTATATTTGCGATTTTCAGACATGCTTCAGTGTACCGCGTGAGTGACGTCTGCGGTGCTATTAGTTTTTTACACGGGCTGGTAATGTACGCTGTGTTTTTAATTTCCGTCTGGTCCGCTACAATGACTGATGGATATTGATCGATCCATAAATGGGTGGTTTGAAAGGATAAGCTTGATTCAGAGGAAAGCTGATCACTACAAGCTTCGTCAAGATATTCTTTCGTGAGTAACCTGATTTTTTTCACCTTGCTTTTGCGATATGTGTTTTATATACTCTTGTGATTTGTTTTGTTTTGTAGATTATTATCAAACAGCGAAGATTCCTTTGACTTTTACATTAAATCGAAGGGAATCACAATTAGAGCAAATACTTGTATATTACGCTGTCGTTGTCCACAATTTTACTATGAAGTTATTAAGAAAGTTAATATTGGTAATTTGCCATTATATTTATTAGAACAAATCTCAGATTTCATCAAGTAAGTGAATTTACTATAAATATATTTTGCTATAATTTCTTGATTATTATTTTATTTTATTTTTAACTGTAATTATATTAAAGTTATTTTGTATAATATCTAATATGCTGGTTTGTTATGTAAATCTTAGATGTATATTTGAATTTATCCATTCCATTGTGTAGATTTAACATAATGTAGGTGACAGTAAAATAGTTATGTTATCAATTATCATATACAAGTTGTCATGGTGACCAAGATAAACTTAACTTTCACTTGGCTCATCTTCGCTGAAGCACATAAACACAGTTCTCATTAAAAAGATTAACTTCCACCTGTTGATTTTTTGTTATCTTATTCTATTAACCCGAGACGTTTGTGTATCATTTAATCATCACTCTCTCTTGTAAAAATTGTTGATTTTATGCTCCAGAAATCAGTAATGAAAATTATTGATTCATGACTAAAATATGTTCGTTAAGTATGTTATATAATTTATAATAATTTCTATTTTGGTAATTATTATTAGCAGTTATTATGTATTGAACATTATTTATTTTACTTTTATCAAATACTATATATTTGAATAATCAATTTTATTATTAGTTCATTATAAACTAACAAATTTTGTCTTTAGAGTTGTAATATTAGTTCTCTTAAAAAAATAATAATAAATAAAATGTAATAAGTTGATTAATCTGTATGAATAGGAACACATTTTAAAATGATAAACTTATATTAAATTATGTTGTTTGTATATAACATTAGTGATTAGTTAATAATATACTAATTCAATTTAGAAAATTGTTATGAATTATATAATTTAAATAAATATTCCAATTACATGTTTTATTTAGATTTACTAATAACCTGAAATTGTCAGTTAAAGTTACAAATCCAGGTAGACTATTATGGATTAATGAGTCATTTGTGACCAAGTAGGCGAAATAAAGGTGTAGTACTAAATTATATTTATGATTATGTATCTAATAATTTATATGATCAGTAAATATTTAACTACTATGATTTTTTTTCTTTTTATTTAAATTGTAATTTTTTTAATCAAAATTAAGGCAGTTAATCTTTCAATTAGACTATATATATATATTTTTTTATAACTCTTCATGTATAAGTAATTAGCCATTTTTAACTCAAGGTAGAAATACATTAAAATACATTCTGTTTAGACAAGTAATCTAGTTACTTGTGAATTCTAAACATTTTTCTAGACCTTTATTATTACAAATGATAAACTTTAGTTAAAAGAACTACGGAAAAAAATAAATGAAGTATAATTAATTAGGAAATTTAAATACATAGTCCAAATGGTAATGTCAAGTTCAATGTGATATTTACATATTAACGTAAATATAATTATTTTTCATTTAGTATTAGTAAAATATTCTAAACATTTTTATATTTTGTTCTTTCTAATTGAAAGTTGTTGATTACAGTTAACCTCCCAAATAATAATTCAGTACTTAATGTTATTTCGTTAATTTTAGTATTATGTGGGTTTTGAAGAAATAAAAAATTAGAATAAGGTTTATTACAAAATTAAAATTAAATTATAATCACCATTATTAATTGATAACCTAAGATGATAGGTTTACATAGATAAAAAGTTCTCTTTTCACTTATTTTTTTAAATTCAAAATACCTAGAAAATGAGTATATTTTGTTTGACAATTTCTTTCAAATCTAAAAATATAAATTTTTCATTTTATACTGTTATTTATTCGTAAATAATAACGAACATAAATAATTCAAGTTGGATAAAAAAAAAAAAATAAAAAAAACGAATTATTGATCTATAGCAGCAGTTCTCAACCTTTTAATATTTACATTTCCCAAAATTTGTTTAGTATCTAAAATGCTGAAAAATCATTCTTGCGTACTTTAAAAATAAATAAAGCCAACTTTTTCATGATTGCATAAATGCATTAACTTTCTCACTAGTATAAAATTTGTATTTGTTTGAGCCTTGCAGACTCATATTTAGAACATTTAATAGGTCAAATATGTCAGCCATGTACGCTTGTCTTGATAGCTATTCGCCATCACAAAACAATTTAGACTTTCCTTCAGCATGGCAGTCAAAAGTAATAAAACTTCCGATCTTAGATCAATAAGCATGGTGAGAATCTTTTAAAGTATTACAAACGGCTTCCATACCATTGATATATATAAAACCAGTTAATATCAAATAAACCATATAATATTTTATGTTCATATTGATTTGTTCCGATTTTTTTTTTATGAAAAAGGAGATTTTCTTAGCCTACTATCAATAAACTTTCCACGTACCACAGGTTGAAAAGTGTTGATCTATAGTATTTAGATAATAAACATTATAAATACCTATTATTATTTTTAATTATTGTTTAAATATTTAGTATTTTAAAAGACATTTCGTTAATTTATAAATTATCAAATTGAACAACTTCCATTCTCTGCTGTGACTCACAAATGCAAGATAGTTTTCTTTACAAGGAACGTCAATTCGTTCCCCTCAATTTTTTTTAGATGGCTCTTTATTACCTGTGGTTTCTGAAATGAAATACTTGGGTCTCAATTTGGATAGTAATTGCTGATGGAAGGCTCTTCTTTTTCAGATAACTTCTTTTGCCTACAAATGGGCGAATTTGTTAAGGTCTTTAACTGGTAGTTGGTGGGGTTCTCATCCTTCCTTTCTACTACAAGTTTACAAGTCTATCATTAAAGCAAAGATTGAATATGGTTGTTGTTTTTTTGACTCCGCCGCCTTGTCCCTTCACAAAAAATTAAATTTGCTACAGACTGACTGTTTACACACTGTGCGCTGGAGGAGGGAGGTAAATTCAACCCTTATTGCTGTACTGAATGTTGAGTCTTCCTGTCCACCTCTATCAATTAGATTTTGTTGGATTACTGGTAAATTTATATAGAAATACTCATCTTTATCAAACTTTCTAATAATTAATATCTTGACCTCAATTAACAACAAATGGAGATTCGTTCAAAGGTTCACACCGTTACTTTCATCCATGATTCAAGCTTTCTCAGTGGTCTTTCCCCATATTTACAAAGTCCACAAATAACCTCTTTATGACATAAACTTTGATGCACTCCAGACGTGATGGACTCATCCAACCTCCTAGGCCACACCCCTAATAATTTACGGCCTGTGCCCCTATGCATAATTAACAATTTACTCAGATAGTTTATTGCCGAAAATTTTAATTTGTATACCTTGGTATTCAATGATGGTTCAGTCTCTCAATTAGGAGTTGCTTTTGCTTACATTTTTCCTGAATTACATATATAATCATCCTTCAATCTGTCTCCTTTCGTCTCCTCATTCACGGCTGTATGCTGGGCTATCCTAGAAGCTCTCACATACATAAGTTTTCTACTTTGCAGAGATTTCCTAATTGTATCTGACTCTTAAGCCAGTATTTAAGCAATTATCAACAACCCCTTCCTTTCAAAGTGCTCGCCAATAATTCTAAAAATCCGTGCTTAACTACTATCCTTCAAAATTACGTCATTCACTATCTCCTTATGGGCTCCAGAGCATATAGGCATAAATTACAATGAGCATGCCGATTCGTTAGTTTTCTCCACCGCTAACCAGTCTTATTCGGGTCCTCTGTGGTATCCCTATACTGATTTAGTCACGCTTCACTGCACATCTATGCAGGAACAATGGAAGCTGAAATGGGATTCCCTACTAGAATTTTATGCTTTATAAAATATAGGTATTATATATATATATAATATAGGTATATATAAATAATATAGGTCAATGTTTAAAAGCATCCTTATTTAACTATGTTTTCAATCTCTTAAGTTGAGCCGCGCTGCGATAACCAAACACACCAGATTACACACTGGTCACAGCCTACTATCACACTACTCATTTAAATTGGAACTCAACAATAGTACATATTTTCCTCTACCCAACTGTGATGTACATTACTGTTACTTCCAACATCTTCTTATAAATTGTCCATCTTTCTCCACCCAAAGAACCCAGTTAAAGACTCTTTTCTACTTTTGGTATTAACTTTTTCTCATTGACACTTTATCAACTGACAATGTTCACATAATTGCACATATGATCAATTTTATACTTCAATCAGGCCTCCAAATTTAAGAGTGTGAGCTTTACCAACTCATATTTTATTTAAACATTAATGTTCATAATTGTGGAGATATTATAATATTATGTTAAAATCTCATTAAAAAATAAACAAATGTATATATTGTTAATTTATAATAAAATATTTCAGCATTCTACATGTAATCAAGAATTATTCAAGTGATACAATTTTAAAAGGGTGCAAGTGATATTTATATAGATCATAAAAATGATATTTTAACTATCTAGGTAAGATATGGGCTGTATAAATATCACTTTGGCGAATAACATCGCATGTACCCCTTTGCATGATTTTTACTTTAAAATTTGAACTATTTCCACTACATATAAATTAATTCAATTTTAGTGTTTCTTATGTTATATTTAAATTTGTTATACTTAAATGATACCTTGTTAATAGATAAAATTAAAAGCCTAATTTTCTTCTGATTAATTTCTAATCTTGTAATATTACTAACTATAAAATTAATTAATAAAAATTTAAAGTTAACTATTATCTATAACAAAGTTGACAAAAGCTTATAATTTTTGATAATAATATAAGTTTAATTTAACATTAGAAAATGTAATAAAATTACTAAAAATGGTTTGGTAATCAGGTAACTTAATTAATTTTTTTATTAAGGTGCTATTTTCTTAAAGCTTTTATAATTATAATTATGGCATTTAAAAACCTAAAATATGGTCGTTTTAAAACCAACAAATATTCATAAATATGTATTGACAAAGTTAGTTTTCATTAATTCTTTATACTTCTAGGTGTAATAGTTACTTATGGTTCAGGATAATAAAATTATACATTTTAAAGAATTACTGTACAATTTACTTTTATTAATTATCGTTTCCATGTCTAAAATATTGTTATGTATAAATTTAATAGTTAATTATTTATTTTATAGGTGTGTTTATTCTGACAGTGATGTTACTGCACATGAAAAAAAACTAATTAAATCAATTAATATTGATAATTCAAAAAAAAAGAAACACCTATCAATTGATTTATGTGAACCTAAACGAATATCTTGTGATATCAATCCATTATATTATTCTTTAGGTCATTATGAAGATTTTTCTTCAAGTGAATTTAGTGATATTGAACAATGTACACAAGATTATATTGAATCAGTCATTTTAAATCCGTTGATCATTGGCAATCTTTCATTGAACAATATGAATATTAATTTAAATAATTCAGTGGAGTCTCATCTAATTAAATCTGAAACTAATAGCACTTGTGAAGAGCCATATGTTCAAACAACTGGAGAAAGTTATGTAGATGAAAAATGTTCAGTAAAAATTAGTGGATCAGAACTTGACAACACTAAGGTTGAAATTGTCAAAAATCAATCTTGCGACTTAAAACATGATTTGGTTAAACAACCAAATATTTCTGATGTTACAAAGAGTTTTTTAAACCTGGAGCTTGCTACTGAATTCAAAAATACATTAGATTCATCAGCTAATGTTCAAAATCCTAAAATAAATTCATTAGTTATTGAAAATGAAAAGAACAACTTAAACTATTGTAAACCTAATATCTCAAATGTTGATAGTTTGTTAAATAAGAATTTAAATAAAGATAATATTTTATATAACAATGATAAAAGTAATAAAATGAATCAAGAAACTGATGATGATCTAGATGTTGTATCACCACATAATTTTGAAACTTTTACTGTAATTAATAAAAATAATGAAACCGGAAACATTTCTTGTGAATATAATATAAAAAACAGTACTAATAAAAGTGAGCAGGATTCATTGAAAAATGAATCAAATAACTTTCAGACATTTACTGTAATAAACGAAAATATAATAGATAATGATAATGAATCTCATAATGACATAACTGTAAACAATGATCTATTTGAACCTGAAACTTCAAATGATTATAAAACATTTACTGTTGTGAATGGAATTAGTGTATCTCTTTTACAAGATCAACCATGTAGTTCATTTAATTCAATTTTACCAGATAGTAAAACATTAAATAGTAATAATAGCATAGATTTAGATTTACTACCATCAATTCATACACCATCTGAATTTAATGCAATGGCATTCTTATCACCGTCAAACCAAAATGTATTTAACAAAAAAGACAAAAATGTAGTTAAAGAAGAAGATTTATCTATAAGTCTTAAGAATGGTGAGAATGAGTATAATTTAGATAAATATGATGATATTGTTCCTGCAAAGGAAGAAATTTCTATACTTAATGAGTTTTATTATCCAATTGATCTTAAAGGAGAAGAAACTATTAAAAAAGAAGTTTTCAATACAAATAATTTTAATGATTCATTAACATCAAATGATAATACCTTATGTTCTAACATGATACAAAATAGTGATGCAGTAATATCTAGTAAATTATACATAGATAATGATAATACAAATTTAAATTTTATTTCTGAAAATAATCAAAGAAGTTATAATTTAAATTATCAGCATTCAGAAAAACTCAAAAGTACTGGTGAATCTGATAGTACACTTAGTTTACATCTTGAAATTTTTGAGAATAACAAAGGAATGAATTCCCCAGATTCATTAAATGAAGATGAAGTGTTTGGTTTGGAAGAAAAACCTGTTGTTTCTAATAAGCTAGAATTTGTTCCTTTAGAATCAACACCATTAAAAGATACCAAAAGTCCACGTTTGTCTAGGAAATATATGGAAAGTTCTCCTGTGATAACAGCCAACGCTTATATTCCTGATGTAGAAATATTATCAACTGTAGAAGAGAAAAGCGAACGAAAGAACTCTAGTTCATTTTTTATTGATTTCAATGAAGGTAATAAGCCAAAAAATAAACCAAAACGTTTTGAAAATCTTACAAAATCCTTAGATTCTAGTACGATTTCTAATAGTAAAGAAAAAATATTCTCAATGTTTATCGATTTTAATGAAGATTCTGAATCAAGTGAATCGTCATCTAAAGGTACTAAACATCGTAAGCCCCAAACGCTTGCTGATCGATTTGTCCGAATGCACAGTGAAGAAGCTAGTAATACCAAAAGTAATGACAATGAAGATACTGTGACTCCTCCTCCAAGTCGAATGACATCAACTGTAGAAAATTCTTCTGTTGACATTTCTGAATCATGTAAAAAACAAAGTATATTTATGTTTATTGAAAATGATTCACCAACCCCAGTTAAAAGAAGATCATTACCTCAGAGTTCAAGACTTAAATCTCAAAGAAATTCTTGGAATGTTGATAGTACAGTTGTTCATAAAACTCATCATAGAACTCATAGTATAAATTTATCTGAAGAAAGTCACCTAGATGCAAGGATGACCCAAAGTCATATAGAAACTGGGTCTAAAGAATTCTATAAACCTCAAGATTCATTTGATATTGTAGAATGTAATGTTTCAGTTACGGTAAATGGAGCTAAGGACAGTGGAATAGGTTTAGTTGACTCTTTTGTTCGACTTTCTGATATGGATAAAGCACCTTCTCAAGACATTATTAGTAGTTTGAATAAAAATGAATCAAAATCAGAGTCATTGAGACGAGATTTAAAAAATACTGAGTTAGGTAGATGTTTAAAACGAATGTTTCCCTATTTAAAAAGTACTGAAGTAGAACGAATATTACTCTCTAAACCACCTCATTCTCTCAACAGTAAAGAAGAAATTAAAACAGGTCTTGGAAAAGATTTATTGCGTATGTTTTTAGAAGAAATTGGTGCTGATACAACTATTGATGTTAATGGAAGACGAATTAAAGCTCATAAATGTGTTTTAACTTCAAGATGTCAATATTTTGCTGCCATGTTCAGTGGTGGATGGGTACAAAGTGCTGGAAATGTATTATATTTAAAAGGGTAAAATAAATATAATTTATACTATGTGACTTTTTTATATTTTTATTTTTTTACTATTTTATTTGATTAATTATTTTTATATTTTCAGGTTCTCCTACAAGACTGTTCATCTAACATTACGATACATTTATAGTGGTGAATGTAATTTCTCAGAGATAAAAAATGTTGCAGAATTATCCAAATTAGCTGATATGTTATGTCTTGAAGGTTTAAAAGATAACATAATGTTGTATTTAGCTGCAGAATATTGTCATTTTTTTAAAGAGGTTAATATTCTGTTTTTTAATTACATTATGTATTCACCATATTATTGATATCAAATATTTTTAGGTTTGTGAGCGTTGTACTGTTGGTATTCTTGAGTGTTTGACATTAAGTGTTGCATATGGACTTGATGATCTTTATTTATCTTGTATTGTTTGGATAAATGATAACTTTTCAGTTGTCTGGCCTACAAACCACTTTGTATCACTGCCTCAGGATTTAAAAGTCAAATGTTTCAAACATAAAGTTGCACACATTGATGTAATTTATTAAATAGTTTATTGTATAGTCAACAAAAATACATAATTGAATCTACTTTTATAATTAGTACAAATTTTCAGTTTAATAAAATGGATATTTTTGTTGACTCATATAACTGCATTTTGTTTAGAACTATAAATTTTGTTATAATTAAAATATGTAGGATCTGAATGATGTATTGATTGTGACAGAAGGCTGCGAAAAAATAAAAAAAAATTTACCAAATGAAGAATGGGCCAAAGAACTAGTAGACTTAACTACAGATCTTTCAAATAGTGTAGTAAAATATTTAGCCAAACATTTTTACTCAACCATCACCTCAAAATAGTAAGTTGTCTACTATAAGCTATAGGTACATTTGTATAATTATTATAAATATAATAACAAAATATATTTTTTCATAGTTTCAAACAAATACTTGAAAATGAAAATGTATTTGCTGACAGTTTTGCTACACATTTGTTAGCTTCTTGTAATTGTGCGAATAGAAATCAAATACGGCAAGCTTATGATCACTTAAACAAGTCGTCATCAAATAATTTTTGGGTAAAATCATATTTTTAAATTATTTAATATAATTATTTAATTTGAAATGTAACTTGGAAAATTGGGATAGCTTATATTATTTTTCTAATTAAATAATAAAAAATTAAATTAAAAATTCGTAAATAGTTAATACTCGTAAATTAATATATAAATAAATAAACAAATAGTTTGCATTTAAAAAATAAATAAATAAATGTTTAATATTATTATATTTGTAAAGTATGGCTGGTTTTTAATTAAAAATTCGTTATCAAGTATATTAAAGGCAATAAAATAATTACTATATAATAGTCACAATTTTATTGACTTTGTATATACCTGATCATAAATTTTTGATACAAAATCGGTCATACTTTACAATTATATAGTAATACCAAGTATTTATTTATTTCTGTATATAAACTATTTGCTTATTTATGTAAATATCAATATATTATTAATATAAATTCATGTATTGGTTGTACTCTTGAAATTACTACAGTGTTACTTAAATTAATTTTATTGGAGTTATATTACTTTTAAATTGTGTAACTATTGATTGTTGCCATAGTTAATGCATTCATTGGCATGATTATGTAGTTAGCATTACTTTTTTATTTGAAAATAAATTGCATTAGTAACATAGGTCTTTATTCACAAATCCCTTGGATGTGCTGTTATTTTAATGACATAATACAAGTCATAATACTAGTGTACTTTTTTGATGATAAATTATATTTGGTAATAAATTATAAATAATGATGTATGTTTTGTGAACTTTCTTTTATACATTTGAAATATATATATTTTAATGAAACAATTTAATTTGTTATTAATTTATTTGTATTAAAGAAATAAATATTAAATTAAAAAAATTAATATTAAACTAAATTTTGACAAAATTAAATTAATGTGTATTGGTTACTAATACTAACAAGTAAATTATATAAATAAAATGAAATAAAATTATAGTCTATTTTTAGGATTTAAAAATCCTAAGCTAAATAAGAGTCTGGCAAAATTTGTATCAAAATCACAATCACTGGCCAAGGGGCAACTATTTTCTGTATTTAAAAAAAATTTGAGAAATTTATAAAAAACACTTTCTTAGATTTTATTTTGAGTATTTATATTTTACCAATTTTTTAAATTACAATAATATGGGCCAAAATTAAAAATAATATCTAATGCTTATGTAAAGTGTATGAAAATCTATAGAGGATGTCAATTAGTATTTTCTGATTACGGTCAGTAGCTAAGATTCCAGTTTGCATTATTCACAGATTCACATCTATTATGTTAAAATTATTTATTTTACAAATATTATTTTTTACTATTTTCAGTATACCTTATTTTATTATTTGTTATTTTTTAGCATGCTCGAGGTGAAATTTTAGTAAATGCTATTATGGAGCTGATTATTAAAGGTCTAGCATCCGATTTCAGAAATGGTCGAGAAAGACAAGCAATGGGTAGTCTTCCAAATGATTATCGTATGTCTGAAGCTCTTGCTAAAAGAATTGCTATTGAGTTAGGTGTATCTAGATTAGAATTAGCAGCTAATGGAACTTTAATAACATCAAGTCCTATTAAAAAAATATCAACTAGCACTAAAGTATTAAATAAAACATTTGAAAATAAAGTTAAGCCAAAATCTTCTGTTGAACATGTTCCAATAACCAAAATTAAAACTTCTGGAAAATTTGCTGAGGTACTAATTTAATTATAACATATTTATTTTTATATTTATATTATCAATATTTTATTAATATCATACAAATTAAAATAATATTATTTAGGTTAAATCAAGATATATGGAACCAAAACCACAAATCACTACACCTATACCTCAAAAGATATTGACTGTTCATAAAGATTTACCTCGTGGCCGTCGCGTTATGTCATCATCAACATCACTGACATCATCTCCTAATATTCGAAATACTGTATCCAATTCAAGACTGTCTACTAACCGAGTAACCAAAACATCTTCTGAATTATCTTTGTCTACTCCTAAACTAAAAACCAAAACTATCTTGCCTAAAACAGATCCTCTACCATCTAATACACGTACATCATCCATTGCATCCAAAATCACACCTAAAAGCACTAGAAAACCTGTACAGAAGAATTTTAATGCTAAAATATTGCCCAATGCTAGAACATTAAATGGTACAAAAAAACAGACTATTACTCCAAAAACCAAATTATTACCAAATGGGCATCCCACTATAGGATCTAGGTCAGGTACATTTTGTAAAGATGAACCTACTGTTATGCATAGTAAAGATATCACAAGTTAAATAGGTTTTAGTGGGGTACTATTATACATAAATACTGGTGATAAATATATTTATTAATTTTTTTGAAAAATATGCGATTGTGTTTTGTTAATTAAAATACTCAACCATTACTAAATAATCTAAATACTCATACATTTTACACATATGTTGATGAACAAGATTACTTTTAATCATTAAAATTACAACTACAATCTTATGTTCTTTTTTTTCTTTTATATATATAAAAATTTTATTTTTGTTTTTGTTTTTATTATTATTTATTAGTTTAAATTATACTCTTAATTATTTGCCTCTAGTACACAATTCCTTCAAATTTTTTATCAAAATTATTGTTTTGGTGAAATTTGTTAACTATTAAATATTTGTGTAAATAATTAAAAATTGTGGTTATAATGTTCAATAATTATTAAATTGTCAAATTGTTTTTCAAACTAGAGTTTCAATGAGTGTACTTACTAAGTAACTATAGCAATTTATTAATTGTTAACTTCTACATAATAAACATTTGAACCTTAATTTTATTTAGATCATAACAATTAAGTAATAGTAATTTTGTGTATAAATAATTTTTTTTTTTTTTAAGATATATTTTTTAATAATCTTGTATGTAATCATAAAGTCCTAAGCATGTCTTTATTTTTTTAGGTGTATTAAATCGCAATATTATATCTTAAATTTTATTTTATAATATTAACTAGTCATTGTGCCATTTATGATTTAAATTCTGTAATATTTAATTGAATGTGTACTATATTTATTATTTATTTTTGTATTTTATAGTGTTTAAAATTAGCATAGAGTCCCATAGTACTAAGGATAAATACTGGTTTACACCAGTAATATTTCTTATATAAATTTTAAATGTTATGTAGTGCTTTATCCGTCCAAATTCCAAAGATTTAAATTATTGTTATTTTATAATAATTACAGCTAACTTAATGAGGTTTATTTAAAATATTATTTATAATTTGTGCAATCTAGTAATGAAAAAGTATATTTTTTGTTTTCAAATTTTATCTTTGTGACATAAATAATTTTATTTAACCAACCATTGTGTTTGATACCGTTTTGTATTTAAATATAAATTATTTTATTGCTATTTATTCTCAGATTTTGTTTTATTTACAGCATGGTTTATTCATTAATTAATTTTTACATAATCCATCAATTGTTATAATTGAAAAATATTATTGTAAAATTATAATTTACTTACATTTTAATTTTTAATGATCATTGTATTTGGTTGATCAGATTTCTAAAGATAATGTGATAATAGTCTAATCAACCATTCTTTTAAGCTCTCTATTTTGTTATGACATATATGTTTAAGTTTCTTTTTTTTGTTACTGCAAGCATTTAAAATTACCTATTATTGTTACCTATTGTACAGGTCAAACTATTTTTAAATGTCCAATATTTGCTTTTTGTAATATGTTAAGCAGATAAGCTCAATAAATTTAATAGTTAATATAAAACCAATAATATATTTCTGTGTATATTTTATTTCATCCATCAATATGATTTATTTATGTTCTACAATGTATTAAAAACTATTATTTGTGGTTTCAGAGTTTTCATGTTAAATTAGTAGGTATATACTCACTGATAATTTATGTGTAAGAATATATTTTATGATTTTAAACCTTTTCTTCATGGGTATTTATTTCAATTATTTATTCTTTATAATAAAATATGAATCTTTTCAGAGAATGATAATGAAGAAAAATCTGGAGACACAATGTTAACCAAAAGTGCATTTTGCATTTATGAATGTATAGCAAAAATAACAAATATATTATAAATTCAGTGCAAATATTTGGGAATTGGAGCTTAAATAAAATAAAAGTGTATTTCACCAAATATGAAGCATTTTGTTATATAATATATTAAATTAATTTAAATGTTATTTACGTTTTGTACTCAAATAAATTCGTGAAAATATTTATCACAAATTTTAGGTATCTTTTTTCTTAATATTTAAAAACATAAGCAATTCAAATTTAGTCTCCTTGGCCATCAGTGCTAATCTTGATATAATTTTGTGTACTATTTGTTCAATAATCAGGAAAAATATTTAAAATAGTTATGTTATTACTTTTAAATAGGTACATACACTATGTCAGTTGTATTTAAACATTAAAAAACAAACACAAGACAATAACTACAGCATAATTGAGCAGACTAAAGACGAAGGATTTCAAGAAACTTGAGGTAGGTACATGATATGTTATAATATGACTCATTCAACAATTTAAACTTATTAGTTATTATGTTAAAATCTGTTTAATCATAAAAATACATACATTTAAATTAATTAATACCTAACTTGTATTAACTTCTCCGGGGGCGAGATAACGTCAAATATCAAGCCGCCGGACCGGGAATCGAATCCGGGCTTCTCGCTTGCCAGGCGATTACATTACAACTAAGCTACCCGACTGCATAGACCTAAGTCGTTATAATCTCTCCAATTAACGGGAGTTTACATTCGACCATTCTGGCTTACATCATAACGTCTTAGGTTTATGTGGTCGGGTAACTTAGTGGTAGAGCAACTGCCCGGTAAGCAAGAGGTTCGGGTTCGATTCCCAGTCCGTCGGGCTTGATATTTAACGTTATATCGCCTCCGAAGAAGTTAACACTTGTTTTTGTTATCAAAGCGTGGCAACTTCTGTGGTATTAATTCAGTAGCATAGTTACTGTTGGGGCCATTGCCTCTGGGCGCCAAATTGTTGTAGGGCGCTGATGACCGATGAAATATTGTCAAAAAAAAATAAATATAAATAAATATAAGAGTTAAATCATAACTGTGTCTTGCATTATGAGTAATTATGACTGCAATATAGGTAGGGGAGAATGGGGAAAAAATTAACATGGATCAATTAGAAAAATTGCAACATTATTTATTTCTGAACAAAAAAAACTTAAAACAACTTTTTCAGATGTACATATTGATATTTTTTTTAACATTATCTGTTATTACAGCGACTTCTGAAAAGACTTTTTTAAAGTTGAAAATGATTAAAAACTATTTAAGAAGCTCAATAAGTTAAAAACGTCTTAGCGATTCAGTCCTCTTAAGTATTAAAACTTAATGTGTACACTCAATTAATTTTTATACACTATTGATATATTTTTTGATCAAAAATCAAGGAAAAATAATTTTTCTTTACCTACATAATAATTAAAGGTACATATTGTGAAGCAAAAAAAAAAATTTAAATTATTATTAATAATATTTTAATGTAATAGAGAATTATATATACATAATACTTATCATTAAAATATTTGTATAATAGCTATAATATGAAAAAAAGACATTTTGATATTCTAATATTAAGCTAATTTATATAAATATGTAATGGGCATATTGTTATTAAATATTATTATATTAATAACAGAGTGGTTTATTTAGCTAATATTAAGCACATATACCTATTATAATATTCTCTGATTTATGGTGACTAACACACATGAAAAAATCATTTAATACCTATCTATTTACCTAAGAGGTGTATTTTCTTAAGGGGCAAAATAGTATTATTTGACCCCCAGGTAATTTAGACTATAGCTATGCCACTGTATTAATTATGACATAAAAATTGTTTTCTATTTATTTTATTTAAAACATTTGATCTTTTAAGTATAACATTTTGAAGACTAGATAATATTATACTAAAAATATTAAAAACTACAAAAATAATACAGCTAAATCAAAATATAATCTAACATAGCTTATATTATTGTTTTTACACAATTTTATTTTCTATTTATTGTTTATACTTAACCTGATGTGCTTGATAAAATCTTACGGTCCAATCGAGTTGAAACCTTATTTCATGTTATCATACAATGGAATACATTTTTAATAATTATGCAACATATACCTGTATTTAATTTTTAAGATAATCTTGTATATTTTTAAATAAATTAAAATATAAAAAAAAAAAAATGGAAGAAATCCAAGTTAAAAAAATCAAGAACAAATATAATTTTACATCTGTAGTCTGCAATTTAATTTAATCACATCTAGATAGTGCACTATTTTATGCATTTCCCGATAATAACAGCATAAAATAAAAGTTATTATAAGATCATGTCATGGTCATTATTGCAGTAAAAAAATGTAGTACATCACTTATAAACAACTTATTTTTTAATATACTTGAATCATTATTTAATGTATTCACGTAATTATTATCATTGTAAACCGGAACATTCAGTAGATATCAGTTTTTTTTTTTTTTAACAATTGTCCTTGTAGTTCAAATAATCAATTGTAGTATTAAATACAGATAATATAATTGTATGACTTGCAGAATAAAAATATTATACACGGCTACCATTTGCACAGCCACAAAACCAGTTTCAGTTTACTTATGTCCAAAATAGGAATAAAGTTATTCAATTATATAATTAATAAAAATGTAACTATTCATTATGGTTCTATTTTCTTATCTATAAATAGTAAATACATAAATATTTGAAATACATTATTTTCGTAAAAATAAAGAAGTGCATGTATTTATAAGGGTCAAAATATGTCTTTTATTTTTATTCATTATTTTTTATCACAATAAATATTAAACAATTTCAATCATACATAATATTGAGAATAAAAATACATTTTAAATTAATTTTATTTAAATAAAATTAACAATCAAAGAAATTAAATAATACTCTTAATAAAACGATATGGAATATGATACCTAACAACAAATGAATAGTTATAGACAATAATAAAATATAACATCAACTAATAAGGTTATTATCATTTGTTATTTCTAGAAATTGAGCACAAATATCTCTCCAACATTCACCTTTTTGATTGAACACAAACTTGTAGTAGTTTCCGTCAGCACAAATAACTGAAAAATGTAATAACCTTTAATGTGATTAAATGTTTTAATAAGAAATAAATAAAAAAAATTAAACTTTTACCTATGATACAATTGTTTTCTGATCCAAATGCGCAAACACACTGTGGTCCATTAGGTACTTGAAACTTACAAAAGCTCCAACTGGAACTGAAGTATTTTGGTAGGAAATTGGATGCTAAACTAGATTGTTTATTTAAACTTTGGTCTTCTAATGCAAATATATGAATGGTTCCGTGATCGCTAGCCACACACATCATAGTTGAATCTGCATTGAAGTTAATGCTATGAAAAAATAAACAAGAAGTCTAAAACACTTACTTCATAGCAAATTAGATAGAATAATAAGACTCACCAATAAATTTGAGCAGTATTGGTACCTCTTCGAAATTCATATAACATGATTCCGGATTTTGTATCAAACACTCTTATTAAAGTTCCCTAAAATTATTGAAATAAGTAATTAGGATTCAATAATTATTTTTAATAGGCATTCATTAGTTATACTAAAAATAAATGGTTAGTTTTAAATTAAAATTACTCTTTCAGATGCAGTAGCTAATCTTGTACCCTGTAAATTAAGAGCTATACATCCTAAAAGTGTTTCGTGTGCAGCTATGTCTAAAGGTGGTTTATCTGTGTCCGCCAGATCTACTAGTTGAACATGCCCTGTCTTTCGTCCAGGAAATGCTAATAAAGAATTATTGCTATTTGGGCACAACATACACAAACCTGAAAAACGTATGTTTTAGTTGCATGTCTCAATATGTATGCTAATTTGAAAATATTTATACCTTTTGGATTTGCATGTGTTTCAAATACATGTAACTGCTGTGGAGTTTGTGTGAATGTGTATACTTTAATGACTCCTTCAAGCACAACAACTATTCGATCTCTTCTTAGCCGGACGCATAGCACGTGTGTGTTGAACTCCAACGTAATTACAGAATCTTTTTTCAGATCATCCCAGATAACAACTGTGGGCAAAATAACCTCACAAATGAAAACGTTGATGGGTATATTTTGTGTGCAACTGAGGTTGTACCTCTGTTTGTAGGATATTTTGGTGATATACCTCCACCAACCATTGCCAAATAGTTACACCTAAATAACATCTCTACAAAGGCAAGGCCACCATCAGGAAAATCTTGACGCACTTTTTCTTTCAAGGGGTCACAGTTATAAACTCTAAAACCTTTATCCATTCCACAAGCAAAACATCCTAAAAATATAATTACACTTAATTAATAATTAATTCTTTGATAACAAAATAAAAGTAAATAAATATAACAGTAACAAGTATTAACTGAAATAAATAGGTATGAGTGCTTCTATTAATATAAAAATAAATATTTATGTATTTTTATATAATTAGGTAATATAATACTTAAAAAATAAAAGTATTTTTAACGCATAAAAATTGTATAATAGACTTATCTTTTTAGATTTTATAAAAATGTTATGGTTATATTACTACATAAGTAGTAATTACAGAAAAAAAATTATGTTGTTGAGTTATTCTTGAGTATCAGTGGATACATTGGCATATGAATATGTCTTTTATACAGAATTCAAATATGTAAAATGCAGTTTCCATAATAAAAATTTGGTTATCACGGTTAATTCATAGTATCAACCAATCCAATTTTATAAAAATACAATGATTTTATTATAGCTATCAAATTATAATTTCACTTGTTTATTATTTTCACTCAATGAGTATAACATCCGGCATGATATTCTGAACATTTTAGAATCTTTCAGTAATAAGATATGGCTATGTCAATATATATATATATAATCTATGCAAAATTGTATAAATAACAAAACTACTGTACTAACTAATATATATAATATACATACTATTAAAGTAATTACTATAACAAATTTATGATATTGCAGTTATAAAATTTAAATTCTAGTCTTTATTTTTTCTTTCAAGTTATAATTTATAAGTTTTACAAGTATGTACCTAAATGGAAAATTTTAAAAACTGATTAAATGACAAACTTTAAAGTCTTAGCACCTAATTTATATATTTAATTTAATTAAAACTATTAATTAATGGATATTGAATAAGATTAAGATATTAAGTTCTTCATAAAGTCTGTACATTTTAACATCACAATCTGTAATTTTTTTTTAGTTAGTATGTTTGCCCAATTAGATTATTTATTATTTACTATACATAAACACAAATACATAATTAATTTGTATGACTAACTGAAATAAAAGTAAGCACAATCATTAAATATTTGATGTTTTAAACCATTTTAAAATATAAAATATGCAATGAAAACATTTGAGTAATTTCAAACTGTATGTTGATCATTGTATAACTAAAAGTTATCATAGTTTTTAATCACTATCATGACCTAATTTTATTTTAACAGTATTATTGACTTAACACATTTTATTTATTTTAATTAGATCATAGCTCACTTGATTTTAGTCATACCATACAATATAATCAATAATAGATTTTAATTGATTATATTTTTATTTAATTTATAAAGTGCCAAGCTTTTTGAGATTGATCCTTAAAAATGAAAATTATAATGAAATCATATACAACCATTATGCATTGTGAATTTATGTAAAGATAGATTCAGGTTTTGATATTTCTATGTTCACTAAGGAAAAATAGCAATAGACGGGATTCTAATTATTATGACTACTTCAACATTTTAAAAATCAATTATATGCATTTTTTGGGCTGAAAAGCTCATTGCTCATTATAGGTTAACCTAGTAGTAATTAATTAAATATACTATTAAATAATTGTATATTTAATTAATGTATCAAGTATGTTGGTAGCAATACACATAATAATGTTTTACTTATATAATTACAGAAGTATTTATAGTTACTTGATATAAAATCAAAAATGTTATAAATATGTAGGATCAATATGCATTATTTAACTTTTAAATAGATATGTGTTACAATCTCATGCAATTTCAGAACTAAAAAAATAATCATAATTTCTGAAAACAATAAATCTCAATTACCTTGGTCTTGATTGAAGCCAGCGAATAACAGTCCGTTGCCATGGGGATTGGTCCTACCGACGTTCATCCTTTCGTTCACATCAGATAGCACAGATACGAGCTTTTATTATTACTGCTGAAAGTCTATGGACACCTATCGGTGTGCGCAACGAACACTAGATTTTGAATAAAGCATTGTCACTGAGTAGAAACGAGAAAACCAGAAAATATCGACTGACTGATATAAACAATATTATAATAGAAGAGACGAAAATGAAAACCAGTCTTAGAGATATATTTTATTATGCAGCAGAATGGTACCTACTCTCCAATCGAAATTGATTTCTTAAAAATAATACGTCGAGTCTGTAGTCAAGAAATCTCGTATCAGCAAATTATGTCCGTGGACAAGACAAAAATTACTCGAGGAAAGGCTTGGTTTCCAATCGTTGTTATTGTTCTCCTATTTCGTGCATACGAAATTTCGTTTTTTAACACGTCGCGTTTATCTCTCCACCGCCGTCGTTATCAACGTGATACCACCATCAGAACAACGTTGCGCAAACACCGTCGTATACCGTCTATTGGCACCTCTGGAATATCAGCTGTTCGTCTGCTCCGTGAGGATCGTCAAACCCAATCGGCAGGAGATAATAATAATAAATTGATTATTAATATTTTAATTTTTTTTTCATTTCGTTCTTTATGTTCAACTATTCACTCACACAATGTTCCTTAATGGAACTTCCATCCCACGCACAACCACGGTCAAAGCTACCGCAGTTCTCGGTTTATGTCAGACCTATGATTATTATTATAATTATTTTATAAAGAATAATTTAGTAAAATTATTATTATTATTATTTTTATTCCTAAACAGCCGGCAACCAACTAATCGTCTTACCAACGCGGTCGTGCCTAGCGAGGCGGTTCATTCAGTCGTCCGTGCTTTTGTTGTTGTTCGTCCCCCTACCCCGATGGTCGACGTACCCGAGGCCGGTTTAGTTCGTCGCTCCGTCATTCGTCATTTCGTTGTAACGAACTAACTTCGTTGTTAGTCGTGATCGGCTTGTCTATCAGTTTGCGTTTGCGCGAGCTCGGGCGCGGTAGTCCTTTAATTGTTTGTTCATTATTTATTTTTTTCTCTTCGTAATATTATCGCGTGTTTCGAAAACCAGTGACCGGGTCGTTGTTTTTACCGTGCCGTTAGTTATACAGCAGTATTTCGTTCGATATTAGAAATTATTCATCTGAACAACCATAATAATAATAATTATTAATCGTTGGCCGTTTAGATTGTTATACATCGCGACCATGGCTCGTTTTCCGTCCGAACACCCGCAGCCATCGAGTTATTGACCCAACATATGCTGCGCATCCTTTACGAAATCGGAAATACGGGCTCCCGTCGTAGAGTGCTATCTAAATCTCATTGTATGCAACACATGGTCTACAACGGCAACGAAAACAACTGAAACAGATTGTCATCATTGTCTCTATATAACAGAACGGCGGTGCGTATAGTAATAATATCCGTATTGAGTGTGTTGTGTGCTGTGTGCATTGTAATTATATTATAACGCATAAGCGCGTTGCGACATATTGGTGTATTTAATTATCATATCATTGTATTAAACAAGGCTAATGAGATTTTAGTACCAACAATTACTAAAAAAATCATTTGAAACAACCGCACCTTTATTATAAAAAAGAGCCATATCTTGTGTAAAAATGTGTTAACATAATATTTGAAAAAATCCATACTTTTTTTAATCATTATTTTTTCAAATACGGTCTCGAACTCTAGAGACATCACGAGGGACGTGATCAGGTGCAAGGACGAAACATATCGTGATTAATTATAGCATAATATGGCATGGAATAACCGATTTTCCAAAGTCCCGGGTTTCAAATACATAATTTACTATGAGGAATTCGATGAAATTTTTACAGTTCAAGATCTATATACATTTAAGTACTTCCTATGCGTCTGAACTGCAATTGACTTCGGGTATATGCATGCAATACTAACATAACCAATATTTAAAATTAAAATTACTTATTATAATTTTTTTATTCTCGTGTAAAATTTTAAACGGCTATCATTTAATCATTTTCCGGGTAATTTTATTTTATTTAATTAAATTATAAAATTCTAATCCGTTTTTAGTACCTATAAAAAAGGGCATTGTTGATACATTATAATATACTTCTATAGCATTACTTCGATATTTCATTTTTTGTCTCTGGGATTCGTCCTGCACGCGTGCAATGTATATTGTATTATAGAAATATAGAGGAACATCCCAGTTTCTTTTTTTACTATATTCGGTTAAGTATTTTTTTATTGCCAAGGTCTAGAGACGATTTTGGCACCGCCGTCGTCCGGCTGGGTGTGATTATTAGTATTATATATAGGTGCATTTTATGCGCGCGCTGTGCACTGACAGAAGGAAAAACGATTTTTGAATTCGAGCCACCAGTGTTTAAACATAGCATCGAATGTCCTCGATTTGACGGCGGGACCGGCTCTGAAGTGTCACGTAATCATATTTTATTTTTGATGTGTTTACACCTCGGTTTACATACATTCATCTCTTCACCTTCTTCAGAGCATTGCTCACCCATAACCGGTGCTATTTGTTGCTTTCATGCGTGAGCAGGGGGACGCTGGAATGAACTTGAACATGCTGCTATTCTTGATTTTAGTGTAAGTTTATTCCGAGGTTCATTAAATTAAAATATAGGAATCCTAATTTTGAATTTATAAGTATATATCCGAGCTTATATCTCTTTAATGAAATGATTATTAAAATCTACATTGTAGACATTATTGTGACATTAATTCACACATTTTGTGACGAGCCTACGACAATTTCCTATGTATACATAATAATCAAAATCAAAGGAGTACTCGCACTGCTAGCTTTAATATTGCAATTCTAAATTTACAGTATAGTATAGTAAATCCTCTCTAAAGCGAAATCACAAGGACCAACATATTTTTCCGTTATAAAGAGGATGAAATAAAAATTGAAGGTCTTAAAATCTATTTATGTATTTAATAATTAAAATTCAATTTGTGGATTATATATAGCATTATTAAAGAATATAAGAACATTTATATTTTATGATCACATATCTGCGTTAAAATAACGCAACCATTGATCCATAATCTCAATTGTAATGCATGATTTTTTATTACATTTCTATGTGACTGGTAATCAAGAAACATCTTAAAACATCGTAGTTTTTAGATTTGTCTTTAACCAAGGGTTTCCTAATTTCCCCAGTCATATTCCACACATGAGCCACTGTTAAGCGATCCTTTGCTTGTTTCCTCCAACACGTGACTCATGCTTTATAACTAGGGTTCGGGACTTATTGCACACAAATTGTAGGAAATATGCATGCACATATGCACTCATAATAACCGAAATATGCTCAAAAATATGCAACTGAATATTTTTTAAATGCCAATTAAAAATTTGATTTAGACAATTTTTTGTAATTAGTTATTTTTGACAACACTAACACTATCAATATTTATTACTGAAGTGAATGTTCGATTTCGTTTTCTCCTACAATGAAAATTTTTTCTCCAAACTCGGTGATATATTGTCTAATACGTTCGTTATTTTCGGCATCTTTAAAATTACGAGAGCTACAAAAATAACGATTTTAAAAGCCACGACGCACGAAAACAAACGGAATTCTTATTTTCCTTTTACAAAGTATTACTCTTAAACGATTTACGATAAGTCAATAATTTATCGTCGATAAACGATAGTATTCGCAGGAATAATTAAGTATTTCCTTAGTTGCTAAATCCAGTTAATAATATTATCTCATCTTTATTAATAAACCGAGCTATACGAAGAAACAATTACTTATTACGAGTGATTAGGTATATTGAATAACGTATGAAAGTAAAAAATAAATAAAGTTAACCTTTAAAATAAATGTATTTAACATAAAACAAAAACTGCGTAAATATGCTATAAATAACAATTAAACTGCCAAAATTTGTCAAATATGCATTTTGCTCAGAAAACGGCAAAATATGCGAAAATATGTAATTAAAATTTTTGTATTTCAATCTGTTATGACTTAAAACAAATTTAAATCTTACTTGGACTATTCTGCGGTCATTATTAATCAATATGCAAATGCAACAAGTCCCGAACCCTATTTATAACTTAGTGACTTAGTAAGAATATCTTAAAAAAAGAAATTATTTCGTCTGCATTGTATACGATTTGTTTCATATCTAGCAATAAGTCAAGATTTTTCATTTCCACTCCTCCATAGTTTCTACAAATGATAGTCGACACTGTGCTATAGGTAAATGCAGTGGCGTACTTAGACCTGAACTTGGGGGGGGGTTAATTTTTAAATTAACATATTGGATGGCGTGACACCTGAACATAAAAAAAACATATCGTACATTTTAATAAATTATTAATTTTTATTTATGATATTTTTTTCATTGACATGTCATAATAAAATATATATTGAAGTCTAAAATAACTTAACTTACTACTTTTACTTTTACTTTACTTACTTTTTTTTTTTTGAACTTAAAATGTTGTATTTTTATTTCACGGACACGGCTGAAACGACAGGTGGTGCCCGAACACCCATGGCCCCTCTAAATCCGCCCCTGTACGGAGTGTTCCCGTGAATATTTATATTTAAAATACACAGTAGAATAGTTCAATTTTAGAGCTCAATAGTAATAATAATAATTATATTAGGTATATTATAATAACAATAGTCTTATCTGAACTAATTTAATTTATTTCCGATTCTGATATGTTATAATTTGGTTCGTTGCTCGTCGTTGGATCATGCTGGTTCCTACTTTCTACGTCAAGTTTAGGTTTTTTTATTATCCACTTATCCATTGTTAATATACTTAATTTTTTTTAACACAAATACACAATTGTTCGTATGTAATTAAATGATTAAAATGATTATAATAATTTATTAACTATCTAATAAAGTTTAAAATAATATGCATTTATGAAAAACGACATTTGAACAACGTACTTGTAGTTTCGTTCGTCACTAAATAACAATAAATTGACCAAATATGGTTATCGTCACGGTCGCGGCGGTCGCCGATGACGATTATCCAATAAAAATAATAATAATTGTGAAATAATCGCTACAAATGGTTCAGTGGTAGACCTAAAGCCGCGTCCAGACCAAGAAACATTTGTCGCAAACATGTGTTATCGACAATGTTGTAGACAAAAATTAGAATTGTTTCTAAAATTTGTCACCGACAATTGTGTCGGCGATATTATCGCTGAATGAATTGACTCATGAATTGACTCATCCAGACCGGTCAAATTCTGTCGATAAACATTTAGTAAATGCATCATATTTTATTTATTTATTTGGTTTTCGTTTAGTTTTGCCTCATCCGCCTTTACGTAGTGCATATTTTTATTTTATTTTATTATTATTTTTACTCTTATAAATTATATTATATTAAACTCTCCAGATAGACCAATGTCATCACGTTTAAGATCAGTCATTAAATCATTACCACTATATTTTTGCTATGTCTAACTAGGATGAACTCAATATTTCTTTTTGGAAGCCCTTCTTGCTTCTAAACTAAAAATTACACAAGCATATGCGGCAATCGCCACGTCATTCTCGTTCTACATTTTGTCCAAGATTAAACGTTTATCAAATATATTGCTTTGATGTGGACGCGCTTGTTTTTAAATTTTATCGGTGACATTTAAAGAAACATTTTGTCACCGACATTGGAGACAAAGTCGGCGACAAATGTTTCATGGTCTGGTGTAGTAAACATGTGCCACGGTAATACCACAGATTAAATAATGCCTTGTTTACACGTGACGAGTACTCGGCCTAGTACTCGGCCCAGTAAAATGATCGAGCGAGTGAATAGAAACCGTTTCTATTCACTCGGCCGAGCGACTACCGCTACTGCCAAAATTAACCGTACTCGGCGTGTATAAACCGCCAACCGAGTAGATCGTGTAGTGAACTCATGTGTCACTCGGCCAAACAAATAAAATACGTGTAAACGCTGATTCGGTCAATTTCGGTATTAGACCGAACAACATAACGAGTAACATAACGGCCGAGTACTCGTCACGTGTAAACAAGACATAAATGATATTTTATTTAATCTGTGGTAATACATGAAAACGACGATAACGATTGTCGATTACAGATTAAAGTGGCTAACACATTAGGTGATTAATCGCGCAAAATAAAATACGTTTTAAGATGACTATAGGCTGCAATATCTTTGTAGAGTTACCCGTATTACCGAACAAAGGTATTTTAAAATGTACGCTGTTTATTTTATTATGATGGAGAATTTGTAATATCTAAGTACAATATGATATTACAGGTACCAGATATTTTAGTTTTCTCATAAAAAGTTAATTCATTCAAAAAATTTCGGGGGGGGGGTATCCTCAAGCCGTGGGGGCACGGTTAGTACGCCATTGGGTAAATGTAC